GGGTCACACGGTAGTCTTAACGGCCCATTGACACAACAAGGTTAATCTGGTCAAGCCCAACAGAATATGATTCAATCTTTAAAAAAACATAATATTCAATTTGCTGTCCACAATACTTGAACCAATCCAGAACGACAGACAATATGACGTCAATGGCGCAATAATAACGTCATGTTAATATAGTGATTTGAACCTATTTAAAACCCATTCTTGTTTTAATTGGTTGATTATATCAATGCTGTTGAGCTAAAAGGAGTTATGACGACGTGAAAAATGGAATCTTTTATTACATGGCATGAAAAATAGCTGTATCTCTATAAAAACAAAAAATACCAAGTATGGAACAAACATTGGTGTGTACTGCATTGTGTTGCGGATTTCTTTACAGAGTGAAATGAATTACAACTATACGGTAAATGAGTCTTACAGTCTAATTATATTATTTATTTTACATAAACGTCGTAGGCTAGGAAAATTGTTTCAAGTCTTACTTTATGTTTATATTTAAGAAGCAATATGATTTTTGTGTATTTCAAATGTAGTTCTTTCCTGTCACCGTTTTAGCTTGTTTAAACTATTATAATATACACGATCATTAAACATAGAAAGCAGGTCATTTAAAATGTGTACCATGCATGGATGTTAATACGGTACGTGGGCTGTTTCTATAATATATAAAACAAACCCGTATCACGTGACCATTGGACATTCGTAAAACTCTCGCTATTATGTCGTATTATCGACTTACAAGTGTTAATTCTGCTGCATTAGCGACACAATGATGAATTTCTACTGATGCTAACGTAATATTATTTTGTTGTTGGTTTAGAACCGGCATCAATATTTAGAAATAATTTCCAATAAATATACCCTTAGCCCGATATAGTATTAATAAATAACATTAAAAGTCCTACACACGCACCTGGCATGTCGACCGTGATTTATATAGTCTACACACGTAACGTGTGTTGTCGATATCGATCCCTCCCACACACACGAAAACAGAAAACAACCAAAGTTATCTAAGGTTTGATAACATAGGATACCACTGGCCCTCCCTGGAGGTTTGATTGGCTGTTCTATTAATGAAAAAAGCATATACTATACAAACATAATTTTGAACAAAGTATCGAATTTTAATAATTAATTTAAGTTTCGGTGATATTAACAGCTTCCAAAAATGGCTAATATACATACTGAACTGCTTTCAATTGGCTTTCATATTCAACATGAAAGCCTCCTTGACAAGGGTAAATTTAATGAATTCAATAAAAGTGCGCTTTGTATAATATGCCTTTGTCAAGATGGAATTTATATCGCCAATGAATGCCAAAGTAAAGCAGCTCAATCCCGAGGTTATAATTTCATTATCGGCTAGGACATTGACTACGACATGATGTCACCAATGCTTCATTTTACTCCTCACGGCTACATTATTTTAAAAACAAGTTCTCAGTATTACAAATTTTACTCACCATGTACCACTACTAAAATTGATCAAGAAAATAATCAAAGGTACCAGCATTATAACATCGATTAGGGAATGGACTACGGTATGACGTCATCAACTGTCATTATTTAAGGAGAGGAAACGTCACAAAATCATAATTTCACCATTGACTATAATAGTACGTCACTACTACTCCTCACCATACCTGTTACGTTTATCATATCATCCATTACTCCCTTTGGATATTTGCTATTAGATGAAGGATTCTGTCTGCTCTGTGTTTTCTTGTCAAATTCTGTCTTGCCTTTTTATTTTCTATGTTATTTATATATGTAGTGATTATTGAATAGGAATGGTGGCGTCATGTTGCAGTAAATATTTATGGAGAATAACACTTGGTGTTCGGGGACGTTTTACGTTACGTTCTCAATGAGATTACCGGGCAAGTGACAATTAAAACACGAGACACGCCAATGAGTATAAATATCATCAACCTCCATATCACATAAGAAACGTGCTTCAAAAAAAGATATTTGACCATCAGATTTGCTCGTAGTCTTGATCAATCGGCATCTCTCGAAACCGTAATACATTGCCTCTGACTTAGCCCAGATCCTTAAAATGATTATCTCTAGATGAAAAGTTATATTAGGGGACAACGACGTTAGATATATTGACGAAAATATTGGAAACGACAGCAACACCGTCCAATACAGGATAGCATAGAAATGTAAGTAGCAATTAAAGAGGTAAAGAAATTACTGAATAAAAATATCGACACCTTCATTCGCAAATCCACGTCAGAATCCAACAATAGTGGGAATTCCTTCAGCTTACAAACATATAGAGTACAAATATCGATATATCTTTTCTGTATCCGAGTATATTAATAACGACAAAAGGAAAACGTGAACTCCTTAATAAGTTTTTTGTTTATCTTGTCGATAGATGATAGAGACGAAACGATACTTGTGATGATAATAATGATAAAAACTCAAGTTTTATAGCTATCAACAAAAACGCAGTCGAGGATATGATAATCATATTAAATGTAAACAAAACTATCGGTCCTTATGGAATAATTCACAAAGTTCTTAAGCTCATTCGTAAGAAATCACACTCTTTGTAATTGATTTTCAACTTAATTCTGATTTGTATCCCGGTTGATAGAATGTTGCTTCAATGTAAGGTTATGATACTTTTTTTCATTTGCAGGAAAAACTAGTATGTCAAACAGAAGCTTATATCAATCCTCAGATATATCAAGAAAGTCTTAATTCGACGGGAAATAACCTTCTAGTAATTAACAAATACTAATTTGTTATTTCTTACCCAATCTCTGGTGTGAACATCATCTTATAATCGATCTCTGTTAAAACACCTTGAATACGATTTTAAATATTTTCTATGATGTGATTTTTTCTTTGACGTTACAAATGTATTTAATATGTATTGTGTGCAGACAAATATTGTCCATTTAAGCAAAAACGTTTCACAAACATAAGCCGCGAAAACAAACGTTTAACAAGTTTTTAACGCATTTCTTAATACAAACCTGTGCTTCTAACGTTACATTCATTATGGCAATTTGTTTCATTACTTACGTAATCCGCAAGACAATCGTGTGTTATAGATAGAAGACAATGAACTGTGGCGGTCACATTTACGTGGAATATTCATTTTGGGCATTTGCATTTCTCTAGTATGGCTAACTGTTAATTTGTACACTAGGTATATTGGGTACAGTACACACCTACTTTGACTTGTTGTCCGTCATCCTGTCAGCTTAGTTGCCGGTTAAAGCATTACTAAATATGTGATACATTATATTAAAAAAGTATCAACTTACACGAACGACATAACTATATAAATATTGACCCGTCTGTAATCAGTATGGCAATCAGAAGTAACTAATGTTCTTCTCAGTCTTTACATATGGTTCGAACATAAGCCTTAATATATGCATTTGTTACTAAAGAATTATCTTATATAAAAACATGCTACAAAAATAATCCCTAATACAATGTGTATTCAAGTGTTACTTGACCTATCTTTAATATTGATAAAAAATGTTTTCAAAATAATTCTTAAATATGAAAATTCGTTACCAACACAATCCTAAAAAACCAGCCATATGTAATTAACATAATTATAAATGTAAACATGAGTTCTGTATGCACTCCTCAATGTAAACATGAGTTCTGTATGCACTCGTCAATGTAAACATGAGTTCTGAATACACTCTTCAATGTAAACATGAGTTCTGTATGCACTCTTCAATGTAAACATGAGTTCTGTATGCACTCTTCAATATAAACATGAGTTCTGTATGCGCTCTTCAATGTAAACATGAGTTCTGTATGAACTCTCCAATGTAAACATGAGTTATGTATGCACTCTTCAATGTAAACATGAGTTCTGTATGCCCTCTTCAATATAAACATGAGTTCTGTATGCGCTCTTCAATGTAAACATGAGTTCTGTATGCACTCTTCAATGTAAACAAGAGTTATGTATGCACTCTTCAATGTAAACATGAATTATGTATGCACTCTTCAATGTAAACATGAGTTCTGTATGCACTCTTCAATGTAAACATTAGTTCTGTATGCACTCTTCAATGTAAACATTAGTTCTGTATGCACTCTTCAATGTAAACATTAGTTCTGTATGCACTCTTCAATGTAAACATGAGTTCTGTATGCACCCTTCAATGTAAACATGAGTTATGTATGCACTCTTCAATGTAAACATGAGTTCTGTATGCACTCTTCAATGTAAACTTGAGTTCTGTATGAACTCTCCAATGTAAACATGAGTTATGCATACACTCTTTAATGTAAACATGAGTATAAACAAAATCCATTGATATAAGCATACCCTCAACAAAGAATGGGTTACTGACGACATCCGTTACCTAAACATATATTACTGATGATATCCTATATATATTCATTGGATACTTACGATATGCTCAATACAATATGAACATGCCTTACCAACGATATTCTTAATATAAACATGTATAGCTAACGAAACCCTACCTATAAACAGATTAATATATCTAATAGTTCTTCTTATTTAACACGTGATGCCAATAATACCCCTAATATAACACACGTGCCAGAGTTATGTCCTTATAACACACGTCACTAATATAACTACCGACATAAGGTGTTTGTTTGTAAAATTATCATCAACACAGCATTTCTAAAATTCTTAAGCAATAATGTTAACTATATATTGTGACGTTAAACCTTCACTGATAATTGGGTATTTTTTCAGCGTGTAATTAGGATTTGATCTATTAATTTGTATAAGATACAATACGATCTTATTGACAGAATCAAACAAATCAAGTGGACAGATCGTCACACCGCCTTATACCAGCACAAGTAGAGTGCGGAGTGTTGGAACGTCACAGCATATACGTAATTTGGAGCTGTAAAGTGACAAAGTAAATTTACTTGTCTGATGCCTAGATCAATGCCTCAACAGGTCTACCGAGTCAACCATCGAATGTCAGACTCTATGATGAATGTATACTTACCAAGAAAATCATCGTATTTCTTTGTCATGGGATATAATCCTCGATTTCCTCCTCAGGTTTTTTTATATCCGGGTACCTGCAATGTCAAGGTTCAAAGTTTTACTAATTTATCGGACATTTTGGGATGTGATGAAAGACAGGCACTGTTGGATATTGAATTTGACCGACGTGACGTTATTACAGATACAAGACCTACAGGATCATATACAGGGACACTGCTACGGCCTTTTTGACAGAATTGATTGCCCTCGTGGCGTTAAGTCTTTATTTGGCAATTTCACAGGCCGAAAATGAATCATGGCGGGCGCAAGCGTTGGTTACGACAGGAGTTGGTGGGGCGGGTTTGTACTTGCACTCCGCATCGTGTTTAATTAAATATACAGATGCTAGGTCATGTACCTATAGCTGTGATATATTCTACTTCTGCAGCCTTAATCAAAACATGTGGTGACAAAAACTCGATACCTGTTGTGCAACAGGCAACAAAAAACTGTACCCGAAACACATTTATTTATATAGCCGTGGTTCGTTAAAGTCTACAGATTTGTCGAGATTTAACGTACGAGGAACATGCGTGTTTGATGGCTAACAGTCCAACAATGTTTGTAAGGGCTAAGTATGGTAAAGTGGTTTATATCCATCCACTGGTTAAGAACTCTGATATTGGGGTAGTGAAAAATGAAAATGTATCAAAATCTGTGTAACCTAATGAAAGATGTTGTAGAAATGTATTGTGATTTAAATGACCTGAAAGTTAAACTGTTTATTTGTTTGTTCTAATTCATTACACCAGATACGCTCATACCGGTATGCAGACCAACTGGCCAATGACCATCCCATGGTAATTTGTCTACTGAAAAGCCACGAAATGAGGTTAGCATCTTTACCGGTTAAAAGATTCTGAAATTATGATTTCATGAATTGCGGAAAAGTCATCGGGACAAGAGAAACGAAATCTTCAAAATTAAACAATTCTGCCCTCGACATAACACCCACGCATTGCACCTCTTGATAACATAATGACAAAATCGAAAAGTTAGTTACAAAATGCATTGCAGATGATACAATTAGTAGACTAGTGTGATGTCTCAGATGAATATCAAAGGAATCGCGCTGTAACGTAACGGAAAAAATGACAGACTTTGAATATACTAGGGATACAGAGTCGATATGGTTTTCTTTTGTAGTTTGATTGTTGTTACGATGGGGTTACTCAAACTATAACCACACAGAATGTTATTATTTGACACGAGAGCAGTACACGTCACCAATAGTGTGTTAATAAGCTAACCGAAGGGCCTAGAGATAAGAATAAAACAAAAACCGGAGGTAGATCATTCCGGTTTCTCTGAGGGTCGCCAATAAGAAAGTGAATACGAATGCCTCCAATAGTGCATGCTTCCGATTGTCCGTTATTCGCTGTATACGATCATGTAGTTTGTTACATCAGAAAACATATTTCCAATGTCCTCGAACCTTTAGCAGTTACAGATGGAATAGTATGAAATTTTATATGATTCTAAAAGTTCACAAAATTCAATAACCAGCTTAGTCTCTCATGGATTATCGATATCGTAACAAACGAGATTCTACGAGAGCTTATGGCTAGTCGGCGTAAGGGAAGCCATCGTCCGCCGAGGATCGGGTCTGACCAAGATAACACGTAGGAATGACAGTAGGCTAGATACGTACGATGAATTTAACCCATAAAATATGTCTTAACTAATACGACATCTTTACCAAGGTCACCTCCAAGGTACCTAATACTTGACATATTAGGTCCAACGTCTGGCACATATTTTTTCTTTATGCAAGTGAAATCATTTGATAGACAACCAAATGCATTTTTTGTATAACACATAGTATTATTTAATATGGGATTTTCATTAATATGTAATTACAATAACGTCTTTGACTCTCAATACGAAATTCGTCATTTTCCCTGAGGAAATCCTAGAGTCAAGTGGTATCCCTTAGTTTGGCTGGCACGGTTTGTTTGAGAACCCCTACAAACACCGTCTTCATATGTCGACGACATGTTAAGCTACATGAGATCGTATCTAACATCATCTATCTACGCACATATTTTAAAGTAGCGTCCTGTTGAGGGAATCAGTAATAAATTTATTCGAAACCTTAGTCAGGAGCCGCCGCCATTATATTCCGCATTTTACCTTCGGTCAGTCAAACACTTCCTTGTCTGTCTGTCAGTCTAGCTATTCTGTCTGTATGATAAGTGTTTATTTTGATAGACATAACGAATAAAAAATCCAAACGGATGTCTTTAGTAGGGAGCAACCCCTATCATAAGCTAATTAGTTAAATTGGTCTGATCATATTAAAGATTTGAAGATAAGGATTGATACATAATCTCGATCAGTCGTCTGCCTCGCCAGCCGCCGCGGAAAAGTCATTAAGATCGACTCTGGAGTATAAACCAATGCAGTAATTAGTGAGAGTAATGGCCGTGCAATAATTTTAAGACCGATACTGTACACTTCCGTCATCTATTGTTCTCCCTGAAAATGATACACGTGCAGTTCACGTAGGACCTGGTATCGACTTGATCTATATAAATGTAAGACGTCATGGAGAAAAGACATCAGTTAAGGTGAAGAATGTTCCCATTGGACAACCCGTATATTTTTTTGTAGCAACATGTCATTAGTGAATACGGAGGACAGTGACACAACTATTAACCAAGGAATAGGTTCAACGGAGTAGGGTGGAACGATCGCCTTTGAAACCAATATCCGCATAATGTGGAAATAGTGGAGTCTCTGCTCTGATTGTTACACTCACAAGAATGTACAGATATTGCAAAGTATAGACTGGGAGTAAGTTTTTGATTGCCATGCCCATTCATTTTCTCTTCCTTGTTTGTTGATGCTGTGCTGAATTTTCCACAATTACGTTACCAATGAAGGTATTGTACGTATATCTAGTCTATTAGACACTTATTAAATTATATTACGCAACTGGGGTACTAGTTTACAATGTGAATCAATTAAAAATGTTAAGAGTAAAAGAAAAAGCAACAGCTTTCCTGAAGATCCTTTGGGATTTCGGAGAATGTGCGATTCGGTAAGAATTGGGAAAATTGATAGGATATTTCATTCTTAACATGATAAACTGAGAAACACGACGAAGTGCGATGGACTGTACCGGCTCGTATATCACTGCTTCCCAAGGTCGTCATGCACACGTGATTCGTGGAATAGTTACATACGACTGGGATATCTCTGTCTCACGGCATGTTAACTAATTTTCACGCGATTTTAACATTACACATTCCAATTAGAGGTTCAAATCATACCATTAAGTATGTTAAAAATCGTCCCCTCCATCGAGTATGACCTAACCGTTTGTTCTGATGTCTATCACTTAAGTCTACTATGACGTCTAAGATAACGTGATCGATTAGTTTATAGATTCGCTCTATAGTTGATGAGAGTTACAGACTGATCGTCAAGTCTGTTACACGTACAATGTCGTCACAGCAAATATACTGCTGTCAATGTAAATACAGGGGATAAATACAGTAGTAGACAGCTGTTGAATGCTATATCAGTGTTTGTTTGGAGATTCCTTTATGGGTGGCATCCTCAGGTTGTAATAGCTTGTGTCTACATCCCTTTTTGAATATTTTGGCAATAAACAATTTTAAAGTAAAGAATTGAAAACAACAAAGATCTTGGATGTAGACTTATTTTAGTGCGTTTTATTGGTCCCTGTTTCCTTCGACCCTATGAGACAAGTACAAATATTATGTCGGCAAGACATTTTATCACCAGACTTTTATCATGGGAACAATTCAAGATAAAGTACAATAACATGTTTCTCAATAAATGTTGGATATATTTTTCTTTACTAGCCACGGTGGTACATGTACATAGGACATATAGCTTACACATATGTTTTCATAGAAGAGTCAGGCAATGCCTTTAGCTCCTAGACAGTGTCCTGTACATACTGATATACGGTGTAACAACAGGTAATATTTGAGCACAGAAAGGAAACGGCAATATATGAGCGGTATGGTCAGAAACGTCCTATTTTATTTTAAACTATACGGAATATCCCCACAACACCATGCACTAGTGTGGGTGTTGGGGTCACAAGTTTCCTACCCCAATATACACGTACACATTGCCATACGTTACAGCGCTGTGGTCACTATACCTGTTTATTGACACACAAGAAGTTGCCCTAATCACAAAAACACAACTCACTCTAACGAACAAAATAAAAAAAAACACTTCCATATCGTATCGGACAATAGCTTTCTTAGACCTGCGTCACTCGAAACCCTGAGCTGGAATCAGTGGTCTGAAGTCGATATTTTCACATCTATCCGGGAAATCGTGGTATTTTATACAGTGCCGTGGATATCGAATCAACTGCACGTGTTTAAATTGCATTCTGTGGAAGCAGGGACGCTACTTTAAATAAAGTGAAATTTCACGATCGAAACATCAAATTCGTCACTCTTAAAACACAGATTAGCCATTAGTTAACCCTGGTTGTCATGAAAGTTCATGAAATTACAGGAAAACGCCTGATGTGGATAAAGGTATATAAGATCAATGTGGTCAATACATTTCATATTGTTTAAAGACAACACATCATCAGTAACCCTGGAAGTGATTTTGGCAAAGTCTTTGAAACTTGTTGTGATAGCCTTATATTTGGAAAAAAACCTTCCTATAATAAGTGAACGAAGGCGTGTACGCAGTAACATTGTAAATGAGATGTAATAGTGTCAAACATGTTAATTGTACTGATAGGAGAAATATTTTCTAGGAAATTATCATAAATGTAAAACAAAAGTGCGAAGCATTTTTGAAGTTCTACATCATTCCACTGTGCTGCTTTAAGGGAAAGAACAAGCCTGCTGTGTCCCATCGCATGTTCAATGAGCAGTAAATATAACGTATACTGTACCTGCAGATTTAGGGGATTTCCTTTGAGTATTCTGCCCAGCGGACATTGAAAACACGCACTAAAATAGACATACTGCCCCAATGGCATCACTTTGGATCTTTGATTTTCTCTCTAACCTCCTTTTATTCTTTT